ATAAGTAAGATGCTAGTTTCTAAAATTTAAATAAATCCGTAAATAATAACGTCTAATTGAAAAATAATTGCTTCATGAAACGAAAATGTGAAAACATATTCGTTTTTTTTATAGGATAGGGCACAGAGTCCACCTGATGGTAAGTGGTTGCTGTGGCCCATAGACATCTACATCTATCCTCGATTACGAATCAAAATGCAGATGCGTTGTCACCCGTGAGGACTAAGATAGAATGCCTCGTTTCCAGTAAATGGGTCTCCGGTTCTCTACACTCACCATACGAAATACAGCAGCGTTAAGCTTCTATTTCACGCTGGTATTCTGTGAGAGCGTGGTCCTTCCCCGGTCGAGCCGACCCATTCGTGCTACAAATATACATCTAATATAACTACAGCATGGCTCTACCACGTATATAAACGTCGCCTTTGTAGCAGCACGTTGTACATATGTATAGATAATGCGATAAATAATATCTCAAATTACACTTGTTAACTATAGTTATATCAATATTATTCACCTATACCTAGGTGGTATTCAACATACCTGCTTAGTCTGTTTCTTTTCATCACTTCAACTCTTGCTTTACGTTTCTTTATACTGACACAAGGATATTTCCTCTTTTTTCCATCCATCTTTTTCCGTTTATTTCTTTTGGTTGTAAATTGAAATTCACCAAATAGAAGTCAAAGTCAATTATTAATCTAACACACTAATACTAATATAAACACTAATACACTTACACACTAAAAACTAGAACTAATATGTACAATTAAATAAAAATAATATATATTTATGTAGAGCAAATTTCACGATATGCTCCTGTCAGTCCATAAGAGCTGCGCGAGTGAAAGAGATCAACCGTGCGAGCGAGAGGTAAAATAACGTTGAACAACACAGCACACGTCTGAACGCCGAGAAATCCCAGCGGAACTGAGAGAACTTTCACGCGTTTCTAGTTTATAAATGGTATATAGGTAAAAGGTACGAAAATATAACTTTTTTTTAATTTTATTTATTTCTAATTTACATGAAAATAGTTATACTTTATGTGGCTTTAAGTACGACTTTGCCACATTTATACTTCTAATAGAAAAAAGTAGATATTTGCAGAAAAAAATTCATGAAATTACAACTTTTTAAGCCCTTCAAATAAGAAAATTAAAGCATTTATAAAAAAAATGACCAGATCAGATTATTGTATACAATATTTAAATAAATGTGATCTGAATACTTTTCTTGATATTGTTATAGTTTGTACATAGCAGAGGCTTTAATAAGACCTTTTACGCATGTAACCTAAACATAGGCATGTTTAATGCCTAATAGAGCTATTAATTTAAACACCAAAATAAAATTAAAAAACAGTTTCCAAAATATCAAATCCTACACTTTTAATAAATGTAAAATATGTTTTACTTTTTCTTTCTTAACTACCATAAAAAAATATTTGTTTTGCTGTAAATTATGCGAGAACACAAATTTTTACAAGACCGAGGCCTTAACATACTTTGTTTTTGTCTAGCTGTTGACCTTAAAACAGATTGATGCAACACTGGAAACAAATATGCTGACATCATGCGATTAAACATGTATATTGTATAGTGTAATCATGCAACACACGACTGCGTCGAGAGTGAGATCCGTTATCTCCTAAAACCGACCTTATGCAGTTGATTTTAAGTAAACTCTACAATTAAACCAATTCGCGAGTTTGCAATATTATAAATTCAATTTTATTTTTCAGTTGCACATTATCGCTTACATTCGTCAGATTTTTTCGATACGCATTGTATCACGTTAATATGATGTGATTAAAAAAAAACATGTTTTTGTTGTGCATAAATATCAGTAACTATGATTTTACTATCGTATTTGTATTGTACTCGCTTTTCTTTTCTGCCAGTTACAGCAATAATCGTTTTAATTGTTTATTTTTTGTTTTAACTTTTACAATAGTTTTATTTTACAAATTGAAAGTTCTTAGTTTATGGACACTACTATAAAAATACAACGATTTGACTTTTGTTTGAATAAGATATCAATAATTGATGCGCTATTAAAAATTCATGGCTTGAAATCTATGGGCGAGGCCTATGTTCAGCAATGGACGATAACGATAGATAACGATAGATGGACATTGGCTTGTCCAACAGTGTGAGTAATTTGGTATCAATACCATTTTGATTGCTTTCGCTGGTTGTAACGCCGTAAGAGAAACTACTACCTAATAAAATACCGTAGCTGTCCTCGAAGAATATGTGGGGGGTGACCGAGGGAAACGGAAACTAATAAAAACTGCGGTGTTAATCCGCCTGCCAAGTGCGGCAAGTACGGTAATATATCCCTCCTATAAAGCATCCTCTGTGGAAACGGTGTCTCATACAATGGACTTTGATAGGCGGAAATGATGGTGATGATGATAAATTGATAACAATGCGCAAGTACCGTGTGCTGGCGGTTTAAAGGGAATCGCCATATTTCGTCTAGTGGATATTAAGTGTCGACTAAAGTATATGCGAGTATATGGAATAAAGGTGACAAACGAGCACACAGTCCACCTGATGGTAAGTGGATGCTGTGGCCCAGATATCTACATTTATCCTCGATTAAGAATCAAAACGCAGATGCGTTGTCACCCCTGAGGACTTTGAATGTTTTGTTTCCAGTACAAAAATAGTCTCCGGATCTCTACGCTCACCATATAAAACACAGCAGTATTAAGCTGCTATTTTACGCTGGTATTCTGTGAGAGCATGGTCCTTCCCCGGTCGAGCCGACCCATTCGTGCTACAACCATAATATAGCTATAGTGTGGCTCTACTACGTATCTTGTGGCTTCCAATAGATGGCAGTGTGACCACCTCGTTACCAGGGCCATGCGTAAAATACACATACTGACAGCAGGAAGCTGCGTCTAAGATGCGAGACGTCTAGTACTGCGATCCTCAATCCGTTTGACAAATGTGACGATTTAAACAAATTCTACCTACAACGGGGGAGGTTCATGTTTCGCAGTGGACATATATGGGCTGATATAGAAGGAAGTAGGTTTTTATTAGAGTATTATTATTGAAATGGATTTTTTGGAAGGCATAATACAACTGCAGCACATATGTGTCAGTTGACTGGTGAAGGATTCAAAAAACACCAGCGTAAAATATGCCACCATCATAATGCCTTTTTGGTAAAAAGGCAACTTAGTTCTCATGGGTGACATCTGACAACGCATCTGCATTTTTATTTTTAAGGATAGGTCAGTCTATGGACCAAATCATTCCCTTACCATCACGTGTACTGTGTGCTCGTTTGTCAACTACTTTTTTCGTATTTTATGGCCTTTTGTTATCCTTAACGGCCAATGACAAGTATCAACTTTTATTATTTAAAAAAGTGTGGCTTAAACCTATTATTTCTTCAGTGCTTAAACTCAGAATAACTAATAGTAGACGGAGCGCTGCGTCTACCTTCAAGTGATGCCGAACCATGCTCAACTTCTTAACTGACTCCGCACACATTTTTTTCTTTCTTTCTTTATTAGCTTATAAAAATTCACTGTTAGACGCACAGCACAATGTTGTTGTTGTAAATGATTTTAGATTCTTACGTGTGCGTGTGCTTAGATACAATACGTTACGAGCGTGGTTTTGGAGTAGTTTGGAATCTCAGATGAAGTAAAAAAAGGTAGATATCGCACCTAGAACAAGAAACTGTAACCAGTTTTATAACTTTGTGTGAGTCAGAGAAGTGTTGCCACTTTTTTTAAAAGTCCCTGAAATTCGAGATACAATACTACAACTATAAGAGTAATATGCGATGCGAATGCGAAAGTATATCGGTCTGTTTTAATAAATTTCAACAATTTGCAAACTTAAAAAAGATAGAGCACGTAGGAGGCCTCTGTAGATCATTTAAAAGTCTTCTTAATAGATTGTCGAGTGAGCATGTTAACATCGATAAAATATACAACAAATGTAAAATAGTTTGTAAGTACTCAACAATTAAAACAGAAACATCAGCGACTTAAAAAATTAAATATTTACCTTGACTTCAATTTGATGTAACATAATAACAACTAATAAAAAAATATGCTGACTACATATATTTTTATAACTTAGCCTAAAATTAATTACCCAAATCTTGGATCATTAGAAATAAGAAATACTGGCAACATTCTTCCGTTACGTAATCTCGAAACATTGACATTCGTGCTTCGAATAACCTTCAAAATTGTCTTGGAATAACAAATTAAAATATAGTTAAATGAATGTTTACGAGTGAAACGATATTGTTTCAAACTTTTTGTTCGCTTTGGTATTGTTTTTGCATCATTTAACTACACAGGACGGCATTTTGTAGGCAAATTTACTACACGACGCCCCGGGAAGTACTGAGCGAAAATGAGCGTACTTTGATGCATGTGTGTGCGTGAACACGTGTGCTTACATAAAGGAGCGGAGATTTTTGGCTTCACCAATAACAAAGGCCGCGCTGTATCTACCTTTTTTATTTCATCTTAGTTTGGAATCAGTTAAAATGTACGCAGCGTTTTATTATTTCTTAGTTGGTCTGAGGCCTTAAACATATTATATACGTGGTAGAGCCACGCTGCGGCTATATTATGGTTGTAGCTCGAATGTGTTGGCTCGACCGGGGAAGGATTACGCTCACACAGAATACCAGCATAAAATAGTAGCTTAATAATGCTGTGTTTCTTATGGTGAGTGTAGAGATCCGGAGACCCTTTTTTACTGGAAAACGAGGCATTCCATTTTAGTCTTCAGGGGTGACAACTCATCTGCGTTTTGATTCTTAATTGATGATAAATGTGGATGTCTATGGGCTACAGCGTCCACTTATCATCAGGTGGACTGTGTGCTCGTATGTCACCCTAATTCTGTAAAAAAATTTCATCAAACAAGATCTCGGCTCTAGGCACCTAATTACTTATTACATTTAGTATCAGCTAAGACATTTTACATAAGTAATATTATGTTTGACAGCTTCGGAATGGCCCGTTGTCAACAAGCCGTTGAAAGTGATACGAACGAAAGAGAACAAACTCTCAAACAGATTTTTTCCGTACGACGAGATAGAGACGGAGTGCCAACTGACGATTGACGACGATATTGTGATGTTGACGCCCGATGAGTTGGAATTTGGGTGAGTATGTATTAAAAGCATATTTAGTTAGTTTGTTTGATAGCCACGCGTATATGTTTGTTTAACGACGGTGTGGCGCAGGGTTAAAATCTAATGGAGAATTATTTTTGTAGTTACAACAAAATACATTCTCACATCCCTTCATCTACAACAAAATACTAAAAATAATTGACCTTAAAGACCGGCCACTTTCCTCATGTAAAACACTATTAAAGAACGTGCTGTACACTCTTACATATGATGACACTGAAGAGCTATTAAATAGCACATAAGATTCACACACACACACACACACACACACACACACACACACACACACACACACACACACACACACACACACACACACACACACACGCACACGCACACGCACGACGAGGGGAACGCACGCACGCGACACGCACGCACGCACGCGCGCGCACACGCCCACAAACCAGACCCGGACGTAATCATTCCTATTCCAACTATTGCGGAATCATCTCTTGCAGGCGCTATTATTTATTTATTAAATTTATTTATGTAGTAAAACAATAGTTTCTTAGTTTTGTATTAGAAGCATTAATTACTTTTAAAGGCCGATGACAAGCACGTAACATTAACACTATCTCGATGTAAATGAGGTCCAGTGACAAACCGTTTTGTATCGCATGCCAGGGATCTGAGATACAAGCTGCGCTTAGTTTAGGACCCGCAGCTACCTGTGTTCTTTATACTGTTACTTATTGTTAAGATAAATAAATAAAAAAATAAATAAAAATATACTGTGTTTACAGTACGTATACTGTGTTTTAACACGGTTACTAAATTATTGAGACCAGTATTTTTAATTCTGTCTGCTGTCTTTTTCTTTCCTTTTAGATGTAAGGGACAGAGGAGCACACTGTTTACCTGATGGTAAGTGGATGCTATGGCCCAGAGTCACCTAGGTACATATAACGTTAATTGCGAATGATAAGAAATGCTGATGACTCCGCAGTAAGAGTAGGTATCTTAATGATTTCTTATATTTACGCGAACACTATACATTGATTAAAACTACTTTTACGGATTTTTTTTTATTTGGATTTAACCCGCGACCTTACTAAGTAGGTATCTTAGTAAGGTCGCGGGTTAAATCCAAATAATCCGGACTAAACGTAGTTACGTAATCAGAAAGCTGACTTTCTTTGTTATATGTACCAATTCTCTACCACAACCGTGCAGAAAGAGTTTGAGCTCGACTTGGGCCAAAAATCAGCCCTGAGTCAGGAAGTTGTGAGTATTTCAACCCGTGCCTCGGAAAGCACGTAAAGCCATGGTGCTGCATCTTATGTCTCACTTCCCCCAACCCTCCTTCACTCTCCCCTCCCTCTGGCTCCCGCTCCCTCCCTACCTCTCCCTCCCTACCCCTATCCCTCACTCTCTCTCGCTCTCTCTCTGTCTTTCTCTGATCCGTTTGCCTTCCCTACGGATTATGAGAGTACACTCGTGCACTGTAATCCTATGATCCTGCGAAGGATGCAGATGGCTAGTCTCCGTAGAGATCGGCCGCCGCAACCGTAATTCGGTCTGAAGGACATTGTTATTACTCATACAATCAGATCATTTTGCTTGTCTTGTTTATAATGTCTTTATTATTTTTATCTTTGTTTCTTTTTACGTACTGATGTTAAATGGATGCTGTGGCCCAAAGATATCTACATGCATCATCCATTAAGAATCAAAATGCAGATGCGTTGTCACCCCTGAAGACTTAGATAATTAACCATATAGGTAGATGTTACATCGGACATGGTGGATAGGTAGGCTAAGACGAGTGTCTTAGTGTCAGTGCGTATTTACACTTGTGTTTCGGCGCTTTAGTCTATAATATTTCGTGCGCAGTTGATAGATTCCGATCGTATTATGATATTGTCGCCGTAATCATAAGGGCCAGTTATATATTTTTTTAATTTCTTACAAATTGTTATCAATTTATCTTCTGGACATGAACGAGTTATTCGTCATCTCGCCCGACGAAAACTCGCCCGATCGGGCGACTTGGCACCTTTCGAATTTTCCTAATATTTCTGTCGTCAACTCGCACGCTCGTACAAAGTACAGCCAGGAAAAAAAATTACTAAATTTTAAAAACGACTTCAAATAAAACGACATTGTATTAAATAAAAATTGAAACTAAATTAAAAAAAAAAAACACAAAATAAAGCTACTTACTAACTATTGTTTTATATCCGAAATAGATATATATACATATAACAATACAAAAAATACTTCGCCGTAAAGAGAACAGCGCTCTTCTACACTGCCGAAGTTAAACAGGTTTATGCTCACAAAAGGATAGCGCTATCTCTTTCTTTAAAAATAAGTTTTACCGAAATAGAAATAAGTCATTGGGCGTAAAAAAACTATGTTGTAACACTTTAAAGCAACTTGTCGTGCGAGTTAACGACAGAAATATTAGGTAAATTCGAAAGGTGCCAAGTCGCCCGATCGGGCGAGTTTTTGTCGGGCGAGATGACGAATAACCCACATGAACTTCTCCCGTAGTAGGCAGAATTTAAGAAATGAGATTGTTAAACCGTGAAAGCCATAAGGTTTAGCCAGGCTTCCCTCACCCAAGAGATGAAATAAATTTTACACAAAGGAGATAGTTAGACTTCTTTTGTGTGAATTATTCACTATTCACATTCACCAAAGCCTATCAAAGTCCACTGCTGAATATAGACTAACTAGAGAATGTCTCCAAAGGGGGTGGTTGCCATAGTTGCCGCGCTTGTCAGCCAAGTTGGCAACCGCAGTTTCTTTTACTAATTGTTATCAGGAAGACGCTGCTGTCCATCTCCTAGTTTTCCCCCCGTGACACCCACGGGACGATATGAGGTAGTGGATATTCTAACACCGCCACTACACGGTGAAGTATTACTATTACTTTATAGATAGGTATATTGTCCCCGTTTACATCTTATCGCTCTTTCGATCTTATCGCGTAAATGTGACATCGGATGTGAATAAACGCAGGTGTGCTTATTTGTTTCCCGCCAACAGTTCCACTGCACTAATTAAACTCTAGCTGCGTACAGATTACAGACAAATAGGGAAGCAAAATCCGTGCGGTTTGGGCCATTACAGTCTGGCAAATCATGAAACTTAGTTAGTGTAACACTGCTGGTTTCCGCAACTCTACGACTAAGCGCGTATTTTGCGTGTAGAAAATAATTAATGCTATTCGAGCTATTCTAGCTCCTCGAAAAGTCTCTGGGAGCGACCCTGCCACTCCAAAATACTTAGCCCTATAGCAGGCGACCGCAGTGCACCCAAGTAAGACGTAAGCCTCCCTCTCTTCGCACTCCAATCTCTTGTCGTACATTTGTTTTAGTATCTTTATTTTAAAAATAATGAAATGTAACCAATGTAATTCGAAAGCTACTGTACCATACATGTGAAAAAAAAAACATATAATATGTATGTTACCGTTATGACAGGATGAATAAAGTGAACATACACACAATTTTTCCATACAAAAAGCTTTTACCAATTAAACGAAAGTGTTTTGATTACGTTCGTGGCTGTGTGAGCTAAGATCCCTTTGCCTTCATTGCACCGTAAAAAGTTGTAAAAAAAGTTATACGAACAAATACTTAGCGTTGTGTCCACATAATTGGTCGTATTTCGACCACAGCGTACTAGTACGAAATAATATTATGAATTACGTCTGAGACCACGAGATCTTTTTGGAGTTTTATACAATCGTCTCTTATGACGCAGAAAAAGTAAAGATGCCTTGTCAGCCATAGGCGTATATATTTATTTATTTATTTATTTATTAGGATTACCAACAGAAATTACAATAGTAATACAAAGATCATTTTCATAACATATTAAGCACAATATAATTGTATTTCTTTTTATAGGTAATCACAACATGCATTGATTATTTAGTGAATGATAGGATTAAAAAAAACTTGGATTACATCATTGAATAAATAAGTTATTAAAAAGAAATAGAATTATTTAACAATATTATAGATAACTTCATTATCATATTAAATTACATTAACCACATTATAGAAAACAAAAACAATTCCAATATTATACTTCCAATATTATATTTCTTAATTAATTGATTCATTATTTTTAACGAAATTTATTAATTTTGATTTGAAGGTGGATAAACTGTCGCAAGTAATATCGAGGCCAGAAATCTTTGAGGACAGTTCGTTATAAGTGCGAGCCAGTCTGGCTAGAGGGGAATACTTTCCCAGGTTAGATCTATAAAGAGACACATTGAAAAAGGCTTGCGGTTTCCTAGGCAGTCTTGATGGCACTTTAAAGTTAAATAATTGAACTATCGCTGGACAATCGACACTATTATTGAGCGTTTTGTATAGGAATATCATATCTGAGATACTTCTACGTGATTGTAATGATGTGATGTTAAATTGCGCCAAACGTCTTTCGTAGGAATCATTACTTTGATAGCTATTCGAACGATACGCAAGATGACGTAGCAGTCGTTGTTGTATTCTTTCAATTCTAATGCTATGGATCTTGTAGTGCGGATTCCAAATTTGACTGCAGTATTCTAGTTTACTTCTAACCAGACTACTAAAAAGTTTTATTGTAGTGGAGGGCTGCATGAACTCTCTGGAATTCCTCAATACAAAACCCAGTGTCTTCGTAGCTGAGGTGATTATGCTATCGATATGGTTGGTAAATCTTAATTCGCTGTCTAGTATAACGCCTAAATCACGTATCGCTCGAACCGCAGTCAGTTTTTCAGTATCAATATAGTATTGACTTTGTATGTAATTATGTTTTCTGGTAAACCTAATAAGTCGACATTTTTTACCATTGAGAAACATTTGGTTGTTATTACACCATTGTATAAGGCGATTGAGGTCATCTTGCAATAGTTCGACGTCAGAGTTGTTTTTAATGGTTTTAACTATCTTGAGATCATCAGCAAATAGATAGACATTTGAGTGTTGAAATATCGAAACAATGTCGTTTATAAAGATGTT